TCTTTCCCCACCCCAGTCCACTGTTGGTTCTGTAATTAAGAAAGAGAACAATTGTATTTCTATGGTTATTCACTACTTTGCTAGCAAAAGAGTGTGCTTGAAAGCATCTGTGTCTATGGCAGGGTGGGGTAGGACTTGCACTTGTGTAAGGTCTAGTTGGAGCACTGTGGATTTCCAGTTACATTGATCTTTGACATTAAATGCAGCCAAAATGGCAAAAGGATCAATGAGGTGTCAAAGTGTTGGTGTTGAAAACACAGTGGCAGATGTCTCTTCTTTTGATAAATAAGACTGAGTAGTAGAGAACTTGATTATAATAACATATTTTTTCATTTTAGTAATTGTTGTTTTATTGTAATAGGCACTCAAATCTACAGGATTACGTACATCTGATCCCCGACTGAAAGAATGCATGGATATGTTAAGACTGACCCTTCAAACAACTTCAGATGGAGTTATGCTAGACAAAGACCTTTTTAAAAAGTAAGCTTCCTGTCAATAATGTCACTATGTAATCCTGAATGGCTGTTGTGTGTTACTGGCTGCTGTCTTAGAAGAGACGTAAGGTGTATAAATCTATGTATTTTGAAAGGGAGAAAAACACACACTCCTACTGATGCTGTTTTCATATGAGTTTGTTCTCTGGCTTTGTACAGCAGACAGGGTGTATGATCTCAAGTGTCTCATGTACCAGTGTTTGCATCTGACCTCACCCTGCAACTCATGGTCAGGTGGCAGATAAACTAATGGGTGCAGCATGAAGTATTTAGTGTGAATGCATAAAACTTCTCTCTCGCTGCATTAGTTTTTACTGTGAAGTGCTGCTCTGTGTAGTGAGATATTCAGAGTATGTATGCAGTTAGTTCTAAAAGTGAGTATATGAAGACAAGAGTGAAGTTAAATTACAGGGTATGTAGAGATGAGAGAAGTTAAGACTGTAGATACTGCACTGGTAGACACTCCTTTGCTCCCCTACTTAACAGTTTTGTGTGCCAAAAGATTGGTAGTTCAGGGCTCTTAAATCTTGAAATGAAATTATTAGACTGGTTTTGAGTCTGTTTTTATTTCACTTAGAAGGTAAATGATAGAATATCTAAAACTTGCTTTTTCTCATGGAGAGTATAGTTTTTTGAAAATTGTTATGTTTTTGTTGTTCTGAAGCATTTTTTGAGTTTATGAAGTAATGCTGTTTAGTGTTATTTCCACAAGTTAGAATCTAAAATAGAAATGTGTGTAAGAAAGGTGTGTTTACATATATAATTGGATATATGTTATATACAACTAAGTATACAAAATACATAGTATACATTGTATCCTTATACTGTTGTATATTTACATAGCATATGTAAACATAAACATGAGGTATGTTATGTGTTTATATATATAAACATTTTCAGAAGTACACTGAGAAAAAGAATTAGTGTCTGTGAGTGTGAAAAAGTAACAAACCTGTCAATTCTGTAATCAAATGTGGGACACTTCTGAAAGATACAACATGGAACAACTTCATTTCTGTATTTAAGTTCAAGACCAGGTCTTTGCTGGTTATTTGTAAGCACAGTAAAACCTCTAAATTTTTACAGAGTCAGAAACCTTCCTGGGTATATGTTTGGACTGGAAAGGAAGTGCCTTTGCTATTATGCATTACATTGATACTAGAAGGCTTATTTGTGATAGTAATCTATGAATTATTTTCTAGATAAGGGCTCTATATTTAAAAAAGGACAAATTGTTTCTGATTAGAGAGATGAAGATTAGTCTGTGTTCAGTGCTGTACCTCAAGGATTTGATCCCGTGTGTTAGGGAAGTGATTGTTACTATGAAGATCTGTGGTGAGTTTACATGGTTACATTTTGTGTAGGAAGAGTTTTAAAATAAAGACTATGCAGAGGGTGGAGAGGTCAGTCTTTTTTCACATAGCCGATTTTCCCTCACAGCAGCATGTACTAACCTTTTTTATACCCCTTCATCCTAGGCACACTGCATTTGCTGTGTAGGAACTCGCACAAGGTTTCTGTATTGTATTTCTCTCCTAGTGTTTAAGGTGTGAAATACAATACGGTGTCTATTTAGCTAAACTTACCTCAGAATGTTGAAGGTTCAGTTCCCTAAATGTCAAAGTCAGTGATGTCATTTACCTGTTGAATTTGAGTCCAAAGGTGCTAGTTCAAATAAAGCATCAAGGATAAGCAGCTGTGGAGTAGTGATAGCATAAGCTTGACTAAATCAATCAAGTTTAGTAGAAATTACCTGTGAAATATTTTAGCTCCTCTGTACAGTCCATCATTGTAACAGAAGTTTCAACACCTTTTGGGCGGTTCTAAACATTAGAGTAAAATTTGACTAAACTTGCTTTATTTGGAAGGTTTTTGGCTTTGCAGTGCTCGCCACTTAAATAAAAACTTGGGGGAAAATCTCCATCTGACAGGCAGAACAATGTGGGGTTTTAATCTTTAGTCTCCAGAGTTTATTGAAAGCTTCACTTCAGAGAATGCTTGTGAAATTTCTTGACTTAGCAGTTCGTTTTGCATCAATCTAACATAACACGTGGCCTTTGTAGCATGGATAGCCCCCTGAGACCAGCCTGCATCCTGGAAGCAGCACTGCACACTTGGCAGCTTGCTATGTGCATGTTTTCTTGTTTTTGGTACCCTGCCTATAGTACTACATTATGAAGTTGTACTAATACTATGTAAGTAGGTGAAACTTAGGCAGCATAATAAATCTTCCTCATGAAGTGTGCGTATTTTAAGATAACCTATTTTTAGATCACTTTCTATGGCATAGTAGCTAATTTGTAGAAAAATTCCTGATATTCTTTGTAAGAAATCCTACCCTTCAGCTTTTCCTTTAACTCGCAGCTTGTTCCTAACAGAAAAACAGAAGACTTCCAAAAGTCCTATTTCTTAACTGACTATTTTGGTTGTGAACTGGGAGGAGGAAAGACATGAGGCAATGGGAATTATTTTGAAAATGGTGTACACCTGTCTGAGATGATAACTATTGAGTAACAGTTACAACTCGGAGATTTAAACTCGATTCTTACTCAGAATAACTTACTTGGCTTTGTAAGCTTAGTATTTATCACAAGGTGCTGTCTGTCCCTCTTTATTGACCTAGAAGTGTGGTCTTGCTAGCTGAGTCTTATCTGTGGGTGTGAAGCAACCATCTGGGTATGTTATGTTCTAAACATAAATCTGACAATCTGTTGTGAATCTCAACAGGGTTATCTATTTGCTACCGGGTGGCTGTGCTGCTCTCTCCATTTAGGTAGCAAATCCTGAGGAAATCTTCCATTTTAGATATGCTTAACCCAGGTATTAATAAAGGTTTTCATCTTATTTGAGCAGCTGGAAAGCTTTTGACAGAAGATGTAGAGGACTTCCACTAAGTCCTAAGTCTATACTAATATCTCATTTTTCAACATAATGTTAGGTTTTTCCCTAAAATGTCTAAAATGTACTGAATACGTGTACAGACTCGTTCTGGCTAGTTGGAAATGGCGTTCCATATTCCTTTCTGTAATGTTTATACTGTAGCTTTTTAAACAGGAAAAAAAAGGTGTGTCCATTCAGCTATATAGATAGCCTAACAGTTCTTCAGAATTGGTGGGAGTTCAGACTGTATTTTTTGCAGACATGTACTTTGTGTAATCCTAACCTTATGCTGGAGACCAAAGATTCAGTTTCCAAAAAAAACCAACCCCAAACTTAGGTTATACAACTCACTGAAAGTTATAGATCATGAGGCTTGCACCCTAATCTTCCTATCCTGGATGTATTGGAGAAGTTTCATAGTTTGAAAATGTGTTTTAAAATGAGGAAGAAATGCTTGGATTGGAATTTGGCAAGACAGACATGTTTATGAAAAAAAATGCAATTACAGAGTTTAAAGAAATGTAGAATTTGAGGTAGGAAGTTTTTTGTGTACCTGTCTTGAACACCGCTGAAGTATCTGGGGTGTAGGAGCTATGTTGTTTGTAAAATTTGTCTGTAGAAAGATCTTTATGTATTTGAATTCCTTCCTGTGATTTTTATCCTCCTCTTCCCCTTCTGAGCCTCAAACTGTTACCTGTAACATAAACCAGTGAGAATCTCTGATGGGGAGATGTCAGTTGCAGGATATTAGAGGTCATCACAACTGGTGTCCTCCATTGACTAAAAATACTGCTGCCCTGTTAATTAGAGCTTACTGAGACCCCTGTCATGTCCGTGCAGTAGTTGTTCTGAGTACCCATGTAGATTAACTGAAACCCCATATTTAATGTCTGTGAATTGGCATGATTTGCCTGGGCTAAGCAGTGCTAGGAAAAATACCCAGACACTGACCTCAGCAGAAGTCTGGGAACAATAACTTCTTGCAGAAATAGGTAATGTCTTTAACCAGCACAGCTGTTTCTGTAGTGAGTTTCAATCTCTAGCTTAAAATGGCTGAAGTGAGCATCCTAAACTTGGTGTGAATTGCTAAGTGTGTAAAGGTCCTCCCTGTTTCAGAAACATCGGGTGGTTCCAGAGGTTTTATTTCAGTGCATGCTGCTACCTTGTTGTTTTCCACTGTGTGTATTAATTCTTGAGTTGTTCTCACAGGTTTAGGAGAATTTAAAATATTTTTTGTTACTTACAAGAGTGCTTAATATTGTCCAGGTGATTCAGACAATGTAGAAATGCATCTGAAGGTTGTTATTTCTTCTGCACACGTAGCTGCCGTAACTTAGTAATTACTTTTGAAAAGAGGTGATAGCACCTAGAGTAGATAACTGTAATTGAAGTCTGGGAACAAAATTAAGCAGGGTTTTTTGCAAGATATGTAAAAAGAGAGTGGATTAACACAACAAATTAAAATAAATCCAACTCAATTGTTTTAACATAGAGTAACAAAGCAATTTATTACAGACAGAGCAAAGCTTAAGATGCCATAGTGTACAATGCAAACTTCTCTAACGTTTTGTTTTGACCCCTGAAGATTAGTGCCTACCAGCACTTGCTGTTATTGTTGGTTGAATTCAGGAAGAAATCTCTTAAGTACAAAACTTTGTAAAAGAGGGGTATTCAAAAGCAAGATAATGCTCTCTGTTCACTGGTCTTTGTGCAACTTCATTTTGAACTGATTGTGACTTGTAATAATAGGATTGTTGGAATTATCTATTCCAAGTGACAGTATTTGCCTAAAAAATATTTTTTCATTTTTTCCAAATAAGTCATTATTGGAAGGGTACATCTGAATTAACAGTTGTTTCTGCAGAGTGTGAGTGTGTTAATGAAATTGTTTGCTGTTAAACCTTCCTTTCTCTTTCCTGCACTGGGAGAGAGCTGTTAACACCCTTTATCAGGTCATATTTCAACTGGCTGATAATGGTTCCCAGCTCCTGCTCACCCCCCATCCAGAGACACAGCACTTCCAGCATCGTGTCTCAGCTTGTGTTTTGATCCTTCCTTTATTCTGCTTCTCCTAGATAAATCCTTTCCTTTTCACCTCATCAGTTTTTCAGATGTGCCAGATGAGCTGATGTTCAGAGGGTGTGGGCGATAATGTATTGAGGCTTAAAAGGCAGCAAAGATTCCTAAGTGGTGATAGTTTGAAGCAAGAGACTTACAGTGCTGTTCACTGTCAACTTTAGTTAAGAAGATGTTACTGAGTTCTTCCACTGGGTTTTGTTCTCATTAGAGGGGAGACTCGTTCCAGTTTGTGCAGCTAGTGGTCAGCTTGTTCAGTTTATGCAAGTGAGAGAAACCAACTCTGAACCTCAGAGGTCTAATCTAACTCTGAAATCAGCACTCCAAGGTCTGGGTTAGATGGTTGTCACGTCTTGATCCTAAGAAGTGTGTGCCTTGTGAGCTTAGATGCCGCTCAGAGTGGTACTGCCTTGCAATACAACCTTATAGTTGAAACTTCAAATAGGAGCTTCAAATAAAAAGGCATAAAAGCAAATGCAATGGTACAGTTTAAAATATTTTAAAAAATAATTTATAACTTATGAAGAGAAAATTGAAAAGTCTTTATTCTAATAAAGACCTGTTCTTCTAAGCATATAACTTCAATAGACTGACAGTATTTAAATAGTATGTCATTGCAATTGACAGTAATTTTATACTAATAAACTTTTTAAACTTTTTTTCAGGTGTGTACAAAGTAATATTGTGTTGCTTACTCAAGCTTTCAGGAGGAAATTTGTCATTCCAGATTTTATGTCGTTTACTTCACATATTGATGAGCTGTATGAAAGTGCTAAAAAACAATCTGGAGGAAAGGTAACCTGTTTGTAAATTAAACTTCAGACTCTGTAGTTTGCTTGATATTAACCAAATAAATTCTTCATTAATTGACAGATTTTTCTTAACATTTGTAGCAAAATGTTAAACTGGCAACATGATTAAATGGTTTTGGAAGTTCAACTTGTAAACTGTTAGAAAACAACTTTTTACCTGTAACCATCTTTTGTAACAATACTTTGTTACAGCAAGCAACAATCAATCTTTTGAGGTTAGAACAAGAAAATAATGTTATCTCTTTATTTTGCATATACTATAAAACTGCTATGTTTGTCAGATTAAATTTAGTCTGTAAAAGAAATATGCTACTCTACATAACTGGCTGGGTTGTGTGACAGAAATAATAGTCAACACCATACCTGTGTTAGTAATTCAAGTTTATTGTAGTGCTACTTCCAGTAAATTAATTGAAAACCCTCAAACTTTGTTGCAAGCCAAAGCTTTAAATTATTTGAACATGCTGAACATGCTGTAACATAGAACAGAGATTCTTCTTAGAATGTGCTGAAGTTAGTACTTCAAAACAATGTTTTATTTGATAATGATCTCCTGAGTATAGTGACTTGTAATGAAGTTTTAGATATACTGGATGATTATTAGTAGAATTATCCAATTGTATCTTGGGTATCTGTCCATTGGCATTTATTTTAATTAACTTATATTAACATATAGTGAAATATTTTGGATGCTGTAATGTCTCTGTTTTTGTTTCGCATTCCTGTAGGTTGCTGACTACATTCCACAGCTGGCCAAGTTCAGCCCTGATTTGTGGGGTGTGTCACTTTGCACAGTGGATGGACAGAGGTACAGTCTAAATTCTAGATTTTTGCTATCTCAATTATTTAAGCTACTTGACACATACAGCACTTCATGGTATCTTATGGTTTGATAAAGAAAAAGCTTTGCTGGAGTTAGGAAGTAAAACCCACGTGGTCATATTTTGTAGCATTTTTTTCTGTTTCTGGGGTTAAGTAGAATTATTTTGCTATTTTTAGGAAATAGTATTTGTAAACTCTGTATTTAAGGCTGGATTATATTGCATTTATGATCCAAACACAATAATGAAACTGGGTAATTTCCGTGATTCACAAACTACAAGATAGAGACTGCTTACGTAGTATTCATCTTTGGAAGCTGCAGAGCTTTGTCTAATAGTACCCATGCCTTGGGCTGTATTCTTTTTTCTGTAGGTCATGATATACTTAAAAGTTAGTTCCTTTTCTGCATTTTAGTGTTCTAACTGCAGCGTTGTTACGCGATTGCTATACATCACTGAAAATTTTTAGATCTATATCCATTAAAAAGAAAATGAAGGCAAAAACTTCACAGAACAGAACATGTCTTTGCCTACCAGGTTTATTAAACTTTATCCTATAAGGATGTATATAGCTGCAGTGATTTAATTTTTGTTTTTTTCTAGAACAGTGACTCAGTGTAGCAGAGACTGTTACGAGCCCAAATGTAATAGAGTATCTTACACCATCTAGCTGAGAAGTCAGATAAAATATTGTGTCCACCTTTGTGACTAGGCAATGGGAGATACTCATCAGCTTGCATATCTGTGCTGCCCTGAAGTTTGAGATGGTCATGCTGTATATTCTGAGTACCATAATTTTTAGGTGTTTGTTATGTGCCAGGTGAACGGGCCATTCTTGGGAGAGGCTCAGAATTGCTTATGGTAACTATGGATTGACATGTTACCTGTTAGGATCAGTGTCTTAGTTTCTTACTAGCCATACACTCTATAGGGGAAGAGCTGTACAAGGGAGGTGAGGTATTTTCAGCTCCCTGTATGTATATCTGAATCATAATCTACAGCTTTAAAAGTGAAAATGTTCTCCTTTTTGAATATTTTAAATTAGCTTTCTGCTTTTTTGGACATGACAATATGTTCTCATTGAAGTTTTTATAATGCAAATCTTTGCATTGTTTAATGGTGTGTAGTGTTATTGTTTATAATGCCAGAATGGTTTGGTGAGTTTCTCTGAAACCTCACATTTTCTGCAAAGAAGCAAATACAGTTCTGATTTTACCATCAGATAAGTGGTTGTTTGTAGCCTTCTACTCTAAGATGGGGCATATGCTACTTGTATGAGTCATTCTTCAATGCAGTCTGACTTAGATACTGAAAGCAAACTTTCCAAAAGGTAGCACTGAATAATTGTAATAAAGTACCAATGCCTATATTAAAGAGAATGTAAATACAAGTGTAATTACAATAACTGCATTTGATCTCATATTTATTTTTATGGACATAAATATGTATAGTAGCTCTGTTCAGGTCACCTGTACCCTGTTGAGCTGGGGTTTGATACTAGAGCTCCGAGGTGAATTTTTTACTGTTACAAACCCATTTCTGAACTTGCTTTTACTGTGTTATATCTGCAGAAATCACCAGCAGGTGACTTTGTTAGGCTTATTTTATGGAGGCAGCTGTTAAAACCTTTATATCTTTTTGTTCTGCTCTTTAAGATTAGACTTAAGAATATGCTTTTTCTTTTAACAATTTTTTTTTTTTTTTTTTAATAGTCCTAGACTGTTGAAGGGTAAAACCAAACATTTAACACTTGCTACAGCTGGCAAACAGGACATTTCAAACCTCTTCATCTGTGTTTTTCCCAGGCACTCTGTCGGCGATACCAAAGTTCCGTTTTGTCTTCAGTCCTGTGTGAAGCCTTTGAAATATGCTATTGCTGTTAATGACCTTGGCACAGAGTATGTGCACAGATATGTTGGTAAAGAGCCTAGTGGATTAAGATTCAACAAATTGTTCCTGAATGAAGATGGTAAGAGATACATAATACTTAGTAATTAAAATGCTCAAATTTAGAAAATTACAAAACAATCTCCACAGTTTGTTCATTCTTTTCATGTTACTGTAGCCTCTCAAGTCTTACTAGTAGACAGTGTCCCAGAATATTTTGCCATCAGCAAAGCACACTTATCCTTTGTTGTTCACTTATGCCTAATTTAGAATGCTGGTAAAAGAGGCTTTATTACTTCTGTTGTATTTGCTAGTATCCAGCTGTGGGAAAAAGCAAGGATTTTGATGATGCAGGTATTTGAAATATATATTAATTTGCTTGACCTAGTAGCATGTATTTCTTAGTCGTGTCTTCTGTAAAATGATGGTGGAAGAATCAAGCTCATTAAATTGATTTTAAGAAACTTGTATCTCTTCTCATCCCCCTGAGAAGTAGGTGCTGGTGCCAAAGGCCAGTGCTGTCTAGTTTCCAGAAGATGACATTGAGCACATCTTCGTACAAGTTATTCTAAGCTGAAATTTGGCTACAAATTCAAAACAGTGTTGTTTTTTATTGCCTGTGGTGGGAGTGTTGTAGCAAGTATTTCTCATCCAGTATTAACTGGATTATTTCTTTTTTCATATTATATTAATTCTTACGCATGGAAATGTTCTTTCTAAAAACATTATGGCAAAAATCTGAGAAGAATGACTCATGTAGCCTTGGAGGAAATACTGGATGTTACCTCTCAAACACAAATGTTTCTTCTTAGCAGATCTTTCTCTATAAGAGAACAGACAATGTTTCTGTTGCCGTAGTATTGCAATTAATATTTAATTCACTGCATAAGACTTGGATGATATTTTTGTCAAAGACTATTCAATTTTGACTTAAATATCTACATTATTAATATATAAATAATACAGAACTATGTTCAGTACATACCTTAAAATAATCTTTCCAAACTTAAAATAGATCTAAACAATTTATTTCTTTTTTTTATTATGTTAGTGCTAATGAACAACATTAGTTCAACATCTTCATCAATGACCTGGGTGAGGGTATAGAATGTACCCTCAGCAAGTTTGCTGATGACACTAAGCTGGGAGGAGTGGCTGACACACCAGAAGGCTGTGCTGCCATTCAGAGAGACACAGACAGGCTGGAGAGTTGGGCGGGGAGAAACATGATGAAATTCAACAAGGGGAAGTGTAGAGTTTTGCATTTGGGGAAGAACAACATGATGTCCCAGTATAGGTTGGGGGCTGACCTGCTGGAGAGTAGTGTAGGTGAAAGAGACCTGGGGGTCCTGGTGGACAGGAGGATGACCATGAGCCAGCAATGTGCCCTTGTGGCCAAGAAGGCCAATGGCATCCTGGGGTGCATTAGAAAGGGTGTGGTTAGTCAGTCGAGAGAGGTTCTCCTCCCCCTCTGTTCTGCATTGGTGAGGCCACGTGTGGAGTATTGTGTCCAGTTCTGGGCCCCTCAGTTCAAGAAGGACAGGGAACTGCTCGAAAGAGTCCAGCGCAGAGCTACAAAGATGATTAAGGGAGTGGAACATCTCCCTTATGAGGAAAGGCTGAGGGAGCTGGCTCTCTTTAGCTTGGAGAAAAGGAGACTGAGGGGTGACCTCGTCAATGTTTACAAATATGTAAGGGGTGAGTGTCAGGGAGATGGAGTTAGGCTTTTCTCAGTGATGACCAGTGATAGGACAAGGGGTAATGGGTGCAAATTGGAGCATAGGAGGTTCAAGGTGAATATCTGAAAACATTTTTTTACTGTAAGAGTGACAGAGCCCTGGGACAGGCTGCCCAGGGAGGCTGTGGAGTCTCCCTCACTGGAGACATTCAAAACCCACCTGGATGGGTTCCTGTGTGATGTACTCTAGGTGACCCTGCTCTGGCAGGGGGGTTGGACTAGATGATCTTTTGAGGTCCCTTCCAACCCCTAGGATTCTATGATTCTATGAAATACCAACATGCCTATATATTGCTAAGAGGGAATTAAGTGTTTGGTCAAGTTTTGCTGTCTTGTTTTTGCTTTCCTAGTTTTTCTAAATACAGTGTAATACAGTGTGAAGTAAACTGCTTTTTATATCCTAAGAACATTTTTGTACAAAAAGAAGTTTAAAGTGTGAAAAATAGTAATTTTTTTTTCTTTTGGATCAATATAGGTGTTCTGTTTTTTAATGAAATGACAGAAAGTATAGTACTTATTTTCTGCTTTTTCCTACTTTTAAAATTGAACAATGAGGAGATTAATTGTTAGGTTATGGCGTTTTATATTACTGTTAGACTTCAACAGTGTTTATAAGACTGTTATGCAATAAGAGAATTGGGATTATTGAAAGGCTGACCCAGTGTGCATGAAAGTAATAATGAAAATTAATTCATATGATAGAGATTTTAATTTTTATATGTGCTTGTGTGGCTGATATAAGTGACATGAGAAAAAACATTTTATCTGTCCAGTCCTTAAAGGAGTAAAGCAGAAGGTAGAAATGTAATAAATAGGAGCATATTTTAGTTACAGGGATAGAAAGGAATGTTTGAGTGAAGGAGGAGGGAAGAAGGGGTTTCACTTGTAGTTTTAACTTGATACATGAAGCTTGGATATGCAGAGTAGTTGGCAGTTCGAACATACATCACTACTTTGAAGATCAGATTTCATAATAAATAAAGAAAATATAGATGTTTAATCTATTTGCTTTCTGTTTATTCTGATATAGTTGAATTTTGTATCTGTACTCAGGATTTTATGAAGTTAAATACAGGTATTTGAAAACTGGTTAGGCATGGATCTGAAGGTATTTTTTATAGTTGCTACATTAAAGGATCCTAAAACAGGGTGTTCTTTCACTTCTTTGTTTACTGGTGTTGAGATTCAAGCTGGAACAACGGAGAATGTTATCATTTTAAGTCACAGCTAAAAATGTCGGTTTGTAACAAGAAAGTGATGCTAAGAATCATGTATGTTTTCTGTAAAATCTGTGCTGTGCCGTAGAAATTTAGAAATGTCTGCAGCCTTGTGAATATTCAGTTTTAAAACTATTTTGTCAAAGGGAACATATGGCCCACCTAACAATTCAGATTTCTGGAGGACTAAAGCAATTCCTCTGTTAATAAAAAAATCCCAGATTATTCTAGTTGATTCAAGGCAATCAGGAATTTTCCATAGTAAAATGTGTCTGAAATAGGCATCACCAGGAATAATTTTTAAGATCATTGAACAGTTTGCAGGTTTTTTCATGCCTATTGAATTCATGATAGAACAAGTCTGACAGTACCTGTCTATATGTACAGTTACTGTCTCTTATCCATACACGGGACTGCCTCAAGTGATGATTATTTGTAGAACTAGTCTACTAAAAAATGCTGCATTGTAGTTGAGGGATTGTCAGGAAATGGTTTATTCTGCTGAAGGATTTTGTTGACCAAAGGTGGATTTCTTTCTTGAAGTTCTGTGTATGAAAATGTCTGTACAGTGTATGTGTGGCAGCCTCTGCTTTCTCTGCCTTGGGACTGCAAGCCAGTGGTACCAGAAAGGCCTAAGGCTAATGATGGGCAAAAAAAGGGCAAAAGATCTGGCAGAGGAAAATACTGTAATTTGAGATTATTAGGGGAAATGTCTAGTTTACTTCTGGCATTTTTGCATGGCAGGTTACTACAGCACTCATATTAATTGTCGAGCAGTTTTTACGTATTAAAAATACCTATTGTACCATTCAGTAGTGATATCCAGGGGAGAGGGTTTTTTTGGTAAATAACTAAATAGTATTTTATTTTGCGTTTAGATATACCTGTTCAATAAATTGCAGTTCTCTGTGTAAAAGACTGTTCTAGGAAAGTATCTCTTTTCCCACAGGAAAAAAGCAGAGTCCTGTATTGGTGAAAAATACATTTGTTATATATATTTATATATAAATATACATTTATATTTACATATAAATGCTTATTTATGCTAGAGACAAATAGTTGAATCAGTGCTAGACTTACTTAATCAGGGCACACCACATGAACTCCAAGGGTTATTATGACTTGTGTTTTTCATTGAAGGTAAAAATATGAATTTACCTCAGAGTATAAGGAGATGATATAGCAATATGAGATACTTGCAGAGAAGCTTCATCAAAGATTTTTTTTTTTTCAATCTGAGCACATCATTACCTTTATTTGATTATACAGAGAGGGTGTATATGTGTGTTTTTGGTTTTAGTAGTGTGTCAGTTAGCTTTCCAGAGTTCAGTACCTCTTTCTAAAGATTAGTTGATTAATTTGTTCAGCTTTTTGGCAAACTGTTGGAATTACAGTATCAGTCTTCATTCCTTTTGTACCATGTACAATCCCCTTGCTGATGACACCTGCTCTGAGCTAAATTGGTAGCTGCTCCCACTTTAGAAAGACACTTATGTATGACTTTCCTTTAAAACTAATGAAGTGATAGAACCTATGTGTCCTTAAGGGGTGGGAAAAATGCCTGGGAATGGAAGTATGGAAGTTAATTGACGGGAATAGAAGACATCTCTTTGAAATTAGCATGAATCTTTCAGAATGTAAGGTTTTATTTAGGTGTTCTGGCCCTTAGAAAAGACAAGTGTATCTTAAGCCTGTGGGAGGGTTCTTAGTTGTAGAATATAATAGACTATTGCAGATGGAAGGAGCCTATAAAAATCATCTAGTCCAAATGCCTGTCCACTTCAGGGCTGACCAGAAGTTAAAGCATGTTGTTTTAAGGTCATTCTCCAAATGCCTCTTAAACACTGTCAGGCTTGGGATGTTAACCTCTCTAGGAAGTCTGTGACTATTATGTCATAATAGAAGGCTTATCTGTCAATTACAGATATCTCTGAGAAGTGTTTGGATAGTATTATCTGGTGCTATCCAGATAATAATGAATATTGCTTTCCTGGAACCCAGATACCCTGACAAAGTTTATTCTGCTTAGAAGAGGCAGCAGTGGATTATTAGGAGGTGTCCCACTCAGATCTTAAGATGTGCTGGTGTTAGGCAAAGTAGGAGACACGCTCCAAGAAGAGCATTTGTTAGGGTGTGAAGTCTGGCTACTGTACCTCCCCTTAGCTGTTAGAGCTCCCAAAGTGGTTGTTCCTTGCTTGCTTCTTAAGGGGGGAAATAAAACACAACTTCATTTCAGAAGCACATTCAGGAAAGTCCATATTTAATTTCATCAGAATGTTCTTGCCATTCTTCAGGTGAGGGCAGCACACAGTAGTGTGTTGATTGTAAAGTGGCCAAAAATGGTACGTGTAGTTTTAGATGTTAAGCAGCAAGAGACAGGAATCTTCAGAGTAAAGGAAAAGGTAACCAAGAGTAACATGTGATTAATGGGAAAGTGAGTGTGCATGCTGTGAATATCAGACCAATCTCTAAAAAGCAGGTTCCTTTTGGTGTACGTGTGTGTGTTTTACATATAAAATTAGTTAACACTGTGGGTTTTATTTTAATGACCGTTTTAAAATTTGGTGTTAAAAAAAGTGCCAGCAAAAAAAAAATAATTCAAACCTGTCACAATATGAATGTATTGAGAATTGGTTGAGGTTTTAAGATAACTGTAGGAGGTAGATTTTGATGAATACAAATTTTTACATTTGTGAAAAGAAAGACAGCTGATAAGGAGAAATTCCTTTGCAAAAAGAGGGAGAAGGAAAAGGTGATTAATTCACATGAGCAGCCAAGAATGACTGCAGTGGAAAATACTGTGATTATGGAGATTAATGATAAAAAGAAAAACTGAAATGTTGAAGGTATATGCAAGTCAATTATAACATAAGTTACATTCTAGTGAGGATGAGTAAATTGTTACTTGTATTTCAGGAGCTGCCAATAGAAATTTCTTATTCTTAAAAGTAATGAGGATTTTGTAGTTATGTACAGCAGTAATGAAATTGAAGAACTGGCATTCTTTTTAGAAATGTTTTTAAAGGATCTGTATGGACACTTAAAATTACTGAGACTTGGTCACCTGGAGGAAAAACTGGGAAATCCCTTCAGTCTTCTTCCACTTGCAAATGTTGCATTGATTAAAATTGTGGAACACTGGAGAGGATTCAGAATTGTCAAGAAAAGTAATGATGTCAAACCAATTAATTTACTGGACCTTTAAGTAGTATTAGACTGAGTGTTCAAAGCTGTAAAATACTTTGCTCAGAATTACAAAAACTGTGTATAATGTATTAAAATATTTTTAATTTATTACTCTATTCCATAATTATAGCTTTAAGTCATACATTAATGTTAATAACTTTTCACTTACACACGACTGGTTTTATTTGACATATGTGTCTTGGAATATATTAGTAACTGAAAACTTTGTTTCACAGACAGGCCCCATAACCCTATGGTGAATGCTGGAGCAATTGTGATCACATCTTTAATCAAGGTAAAAAGTTAATTTTTAGTTTATCTCAGAGAATTTTAATAGAATGTAGAAAAATTATGTTGTACGGATTATAAACTGTTGTCATTTTATGTATGCAGTATCTGGTGGCAGTTCACTCATTAGCAGGTAGACAAGAGCTGATATTTTGGAAATAGCAAAACTTCCAGTGCAATATTAGACTAGCATTTTTTGAAAATTAACAGTGCAGCTGAAAGACTCTGCTCTTTCTTAATGTTCTTGTATTTTGTTTCCTTCTTTAACTGCACAAGACTTGGCATTCTCTTGAGAGAATTGCCTCATACTTCTTAAATACTAAGAGTATGTCTTCAAGAATATATTTTGTAGCACTCAGAATATGTTTCTGAATGTCTAATGCTCACATATAATATAAAGTTACAAGAGTATTTCTTGCTGTGTTGAAGAAATTGAATATAATGTACTTTGTACAGGAGCAATACAGCAATATTTGCATGCCAGTCTTAATACTGAATTTGTCTGCTATTAACATACTGTACAACTAAATTAAGTTTAACTTCTATGTTACCTATTTTCTGTTGGGATGTTAAATGTGCTTTCTTAAATAAGTGTGTTTGGAAATAGTTACCGATATTTGTTCAGTAAACTGTAGCTGAATAATGACTTAATGTCCTTAGTCCATGGTCTGTTTTTGGAAAGCTGTATTTTGTTTTTCCTTAGAGTAGCTTTATATGTCTCTTCAAGTTGTAAATGGCATAAATTCCATTTAATGCTAGTATTTGCCAGATGCTTTTTTACTTGTATTTTCTGCTTTTTTGGTAGCTACTGGTAGAAAAGCTTTTCTAGAATTCTGGGGAGTGTACCAGTCCCCTGGAGTTTTGAAGTAGAAAACTTAATAATGTTACTTCAGAAATCTAAAAATCTTCTTTACAGCCTTGTCTTGATTACGTTTCAAAGTCCACTAGCTACAGTGTGTCTCCTACTTCCTTTTTCCAAATTGTTGATTTTAAAATTACTTAGATCATGATTTTCTGTTATTTTATATTTAAAGAAGGTGTAAGAACTCCTGCTTAAAGACATTTATCTTTAATAGCTATAGGTGAAAGAAAATGGCCTTAAGTATGACAGGTAAATTTATTCACATTTAATATTTTTTAAAGGTTGACTGAGCATTGAAATTCACTGGGATAACAGTGAATTTTAAAATCTGACTTACCACATTTGTCTGAAATGTCAAAATGTTAGTCCTACTACAACATGCCCTACTGGTCATAAGGCAAAACACAAGCATGTGCCTCTTGCAGAAGGCACGTAGTTCTTGATAAACAGTCTACTTCTAAATAGAGAACATGGATTTGTTTAGTGCATGCAATTGTGGCATTTGTTAGAAGGTTGGGGGATTGTTTTTTGTGGGGTGTTAATTTATTTCTTTCTTTGTTTTTGTATTTGCTGTTATGTTCTTAAAAAGAGTATTGCATTGCACTGACCTTGTTGCATGTGGTAACTGCACGTCTGATGGACACATCATACTTATCACACTCCATTATTTGTTTTTAATGTGATTGAAATGTAGATGATATTATGTAGTGCTGTCAATAAGACACCATGTATCATTTGAATAACTTAACCAATCTAGACATATTCTGGAGAAAATTACGTAGGGGGTCACAGGTGCAAAGTTACTTAATAGTTAAATTTTTTGTGAAATAACTTCTTTGCCATCTGCAGCTTAACAATAGTCCTGCTAACTCTTCAGTGATTTAAGTAATTCAGATTTGTATTTGATATTATCTAAGACTTACTTTTTTCTGGAAGAAGTGGCTTCATTAACCCATGTTTTGCCCTCATCTCCTCTGCATCCATTCTGTTTAAGGTATTACTTGCATATCTTGAAGACTGTGTATGGCTCCTAGAGTCCAAGAAAATTCAGGGTTTATTAAACATGGTTGAATTCACCATGTATTCCGATCAGTCTGCTGATAGCATGTTGATAGCTATGGAGAGATTGTTGTTGTATTTCAGTGTTAAGAATGCTTGTATCTATTTGGTATTCATTATTTTATCCCTTTCTGAGAAACATACAAGGAGTCTGTCAAAATGTACATATGTTGTGGTGCACTTAGCAGCTGTTAGTATGCATGACCTTGCTCACAACTGCCCTTAGAATCTGACATAAATTACAATTGCTCATGGATAGTAGATGATGCTTGGTGTAATCTTTTTGTTAGAATATGTAATATATTAACATTTTAGGGAAAAACAGGATTCCTAGCATCACATACTCAGTTCTGACTGCCTTAAGAATTTGATATTCGAACCTTAGAACAGAGCATAGACCCAAACTGTCATGTTATATTTAGTTCTTGCTCTTCATAATAATAAATAATAAAGGGTGTGTGCATGTTAAATTGTACATTTATTTGGCCTTCTTAGCTGTGACTATATCATACTTTTACCAACTTCAGTGATTCTCCCATTGTCATTTGCTTGGAACTAGGTGGTATTTAGGTTTTGGTGCCTTAATGGCTGTCTTCTAACGGTACTTGCATTACACTCCATAGACTGCTCCAGCAATTTAAAGCATGTATCTGCAATAAAAAAGGTCAGCCTGTGGGCCAGTTTTAATGAAATAAAATTTTCAAAAAACATCAAGAACCTTTCCCTTGTTTGTAATTGTACAGCCATTTGCCTTTATTAACTAGTTATATAAATTACATAATTATAACAATTTTCAAATAATAGTTATCAAAAGAAAATTGTAGTGGCAATTACAAGAGTTTCTGGAAAAGTGATTTTAGATAAAATGGTAAATTCTTCCATGTCTCCAAGGAAATACAGGTGCTTGAAAGATGATTCAGCTCCTATACAGATTTAGTACAGATTTAGTGTTCTGTAACCACGCAGCTTTCTGTACCCAACATTGACTGGGAGAAGTCTTTATTGCCTGTATTATGGATAGATTTTAATGCTTTGATCTGTTGTTTTGTATTAAACCGTAAACTCAATTCTCAAAGCATATCGACTCCAGACATGTCAGTGGCTGTGTCAGGAATTGCCCATTGCCACATACCTGTGCTGGCTGGGGCAAGCACTGTGTTAGAGGAGCAAGTGAGATGAAGAGGAACGGTCTGGAGTGAAATGTGTAGAGGGTGGCACGTGGCTGTGGAGTGAATCACCAAGGCACAAGGGATTAATCTTAAGTAACTTTTATTGTATGCTTCAAGATTCTATCTGAAGATAAAAGCTTTCCTAGTGTAACAGCAGAGGTTTGGGCAAATGCAGTGGATATAAATCCTGTAAGTGCCAACAGCCACAAGCACAGTCTTACCCAGACAGTGAAGATGGACTCTAATGATCAGTGAAGCATATTCTGTGCTAATGAACTAATGTGGGAAGAATTTAGACAGATGAGAGGGCATAGCAATAGTCATAGTCCTTGCAAAAAAATTGGTGTGTGAGGAAATGGGAACCCTGATCTTACTGACCCTGAAAAAAATTCAATGAAAGTCTTTTTTTTTTTCGTGCTGAACCTAGAGAGGTATCTGGTACACGTCAGAGCTTTCCAAATATGCTGATAACTTGTAA